AGATGAATGCTGTATGGGAATAAATGCGAACTCAACTTGCGTGTTTAAAGGCATAAAAGTTATGGAAATTAAATCTTTGAGAGTTATCTGTACTCATGTCATTTTAAATTATCAGTATAAAAATAATTACAATATGTTCAGCCAGGAACAAGTAGTTCAGTTGTTTGTCGTTGGTTTATGTCTGTCATATTTATTTATTTTTTTCATAATTTTGTTTTTTCTATAAATTAAGCTGTTAGCTTTCACGTTTGATTTTTTTTTTTTCTTCATTTTTTCATGTCGGGGACTTTTAATAGCCGACTATACGCTATGGTGTTTTTCTCGTTGTTTAAGGTACGGTGACCTATAATTCCTTATAGTCACTTATTTGAATTCTGGTGGATAGTTATCTCAATGGCAATCATACAATATCTCTTTATTTATATATGGTATGTGTAATTTTTGCCTCCTTTTACGACAACCAACAAAATAAATAGACAGGACGATATTGATCGAATAAAGTACTATTAGCTGAAAATGAGTTATGAATTATTGATTATACGTCTTAAAATATACATTTACTATACGTGACCAGCTAAGTGATTTTAAGCCTTATAGAGGTAACAGGGTCAAAATGAGTTTTTTTGCATTTTAATGAAGTATACTGTTATGCCTAAGGGTAGGAGTTAAGGATGATAGGTTTATATGTATCATGTATCTTTCTTTTCTTGTGTTGCTCAGAGAGTTCATTCCTACTTCCACTTTCATTTTCGTGTTCCACTACTCTAAGCTGCACTGTTGTTTATATATTATGAACCATTGGCGTAGCTTACGTTGAGGTAACCGAGGCAGTTGCCTAGGTAAAAAATGATTAAAAACAAAATAAAAAACTGGGTTTTTTTTCACAAAATGCAGCAGACTCGCTACTAAACCAACTTGTATATCGTCTTGTTGCCTTTATTGATTCATACCGTTTGGGCGTTATGCAAGACTTGTGGAAACATTTCCCTCTGGAAATCCCGACCCCTTTGCGGTAGTTTTCTAAATATGTTAGAGTCAAAAGAAGTCGACACAATTGAAGCTGAAAAATTTAAATCCTACCCCAAGCAAAATCAGTAGAATAGATGATGATCCATTTCACGACCCGGTAAATTATTAATTTTGTGTGAGAATAATTCCTAGAATATGAGGGTCTGAGTGAAGTTTACAGAAATTTAAAATGGTGCTGAAATATAAAAGAAAGGAAATCAAATTATGGACAAAAAGGATTAAAATAAATATTTGAAGTCGCCCATTCAAACCCTCATATTTAACCGGTTACGTCTAAAATTGAAACATCGTTGTGTGTTGACATTTTCCGTAATACGTGTAGTACTCAAATTAGTACAGAGTTTCATTGATTTTCATATAAATTAGAATAAAATATACATTAATCAATATGCACAGAATAATGATTTGTATGTTGTTCTAAAGTGTTATTCTCGCTTTTTAAAATTTTATAGTTTTTCAATAGCAGGGAATTTGAAATACTCGAAGGAGTCATTTATTCCAGCGACATATATAGTAAATGTCTGTTTCTATATAAAAACGGAGTCATTTATTCCAGCGACATATATAGTAAAAATGTCTGTTTCTATATAAAAACTTCAACCAAATACTGTTTTCATTTATTATGAAGACTTCAGAAAAACGAAAATGTTTCCGTTAGTACTTCAACGGTTGTCACTTTCACAATAGGAAAACCATGTAAGAATTTGAAGACATTCCAAGAATTATCAGGGCGAAACACAACCCATAAAAGTGCCGTGGTGCGTTTTACATGTAGCATGTGTCTATTTCTTAGTTGATCAAGAAATGGTGCTAGTGTAATGTCTGGTAATGTTTCTGGTATTAAAACCTGCATACAGCAAAACCAACCAAGAGCATATTATCATCATTGCAGAGTGCACGTTTTGAATCTTGCTGTTGCGTCCACTTGTAAAGCGCAAGGTGAAATCTAAATTTAAAAAAAAATAAGGTACGTAAATTGACATGGTTTCTTAGCTGTATTGTTTGACATGCTGTGTCATTAAAGTATACCCCATATCCATCTCCTTTTATTCTCAACGAATTTAAAAAATCTGAGTTCACTGAAAGGATTCAATTTGAAATAGTGGTAAATGTATTTGAGAACATTTATGTATTCATCTGAACCGTTGATTGAAAATGATGTAGGTACCAGTAATCAACTAATAAATCTGTAGTATAACTTAGTGTAAGGCATATTAACATTATTATGATGAAATTAAATAAAAGAACTGTTATAATTTTTAATAGATTCTTCTTGTTCAAATTGCAAAACCTAAACAGCTTCTGGGGGCTGCAACCCTAGACCCCTGCCTCGGTAATAACAGAATGCAAGCTACGCCACTGTGAACGAGAGGACTATGGACTATGGATATGAACACTTCATATTTCAGGTATCGCGGCCGTATTATATTGTATTGTATGTATTATATTATTGTTTATGGGAAATAGTTAGGACAGGGTTCGTTCTCACTGTTTGACCAGGGGGTTACCTTGACATGTTCCAAGCTTTAGTTTGACCTGTATATATCGGTTGTCCCGTTTGCTCACCTGTTTTATCAATTAACGTTAAGGGTCTATATTGTAACAAGGGTATGTTTTCCCTAAGGGTTATCTTTGATAAGCCCATATCTCCCTTTTTCCCTCGACAGTTGTACATTTCCATTTGTATTTGCGCCATTTTCTATATTATTGCCGTGGGAACTTCCAGTTATCTAGACCAATCAAAATTGACAGAGATGGCCTAGTTTTCAGAGCCCTTTACTATATATATGTGATTTCACAACCAATCACTACGTTAATTTGCCGGACACACTTTCTGTGTCCGCGGACTTCCGGAAGTATAAATACGGCTGTAGCAGACAATTCTGGCAGTTCACAGCTCACGGAACCTTTACCATTGTTTCAGTTCCATAAACCTTAATCAGAGCTGACCACCTGTGAACCTTTCAACTTAAAACCATTACCAGGTTAATAACCCCGATATATATATATATTTATTACCTGACCAAGTGACCTAGATCATTTTCTACGAAAACTACAACTTTTACGTCGATTAACGTCCAGGGGGGATCCCTGTACTGTTTTTTGCTCTGGGGTATTTATTTATGATATATATTGATATTTTATAACTTATTAAATAGTCATTGTTGAAACTTATAACTGTTTTTGTTATATTTCATCTTATTAAGAGTTAGAAACCAGTGTCTAGACTGCTCAGTTAAGCTATCACCAAGTTATTTGCAGGTTACCATTGCAGTTTCACATTTAACAATGAAAGTTATTGACAGGCCTGCTACCAAGGTGTATCTTGTATCTCGTGTTTAATAATAATTAAATATACACACACAAAAATATCAGCTTCGTGATGCTCGACCAGGGGCGTTACAATACATAGATTCAAAACACCCTGACAAGTTATTTTGTTAGATTCTTCAGAATTAAGGTCATTTTTGTTTTTTACGATTTTATTAATTTTTGAGGAAAAAAAATCGTTTTTTCATGCAAGTGCATCTATTGTGGTTATGTTTGAAATATTTGTTTTTTAAGGGGAAGGTCAAGTCTTTTGCAATTAATCAAAATATACCTGAAACTTTGATAACTAAATAATTTAAGAATTTTTGTATCTATATTAACCATTCGGTTCCCATAGCAACAATGTACAGGAATTTGCACTCAAAATTATAATGACTTTTACAATTTTCTTTCTTCGTAAGTTTCAAAACTGATTCGGGATAGGAAGTTAATTTACGCATCATTTATAATTTTTCGGTTTACTTTTTTGTTCTAAATAATATCTGCCAATAGTGATACAATTTGAATCATTTTGTAAGCCGAAAACATATTAATGATGAAGGAGAAAGTGAATCACGGAATGAATTCTAAAAGATAAATTGTGTGATTTAAAACGCGATTCTAAAAAGGGATTTTTTTCTTTACGGAAACAATCTACTTGTTTTGTATATCTTAATTTAAAATTCAAATTTCTCCAAGTCAAGAAAGAATAAAGCTTTCTTTTACCGCATGATATAATTGGACATTCAAAAGCAGGTGCCCCGATTACGTTACGTGACGTTACATCGACGTTTTTATTCATTATGACGTTAACTGCCATAAGCCTGGAAATGTCATTGCGGGTCACATAATTTATATATAAATTAACCTAATATTACAGACTTGGTATCAATTTATTTTATATAAAGAATGATTACTGGTTTTAGTCAAAGATAGAATGGAAGAACACAACTTTGTCTGCTGCAACTCACACTTGAAGGTGTCGATTGTGTTGCAGGCTACAGTAGTTGATGGCATGCTGTTCCATAATCTGGTGATGTTTTGGGAAGAACAAGTGCTCATATAACTGTGTTCTTGCAAACTCCATCTGTTATCTTACAAGGGTCTTATGGTAAAGTTCCTTGGTCTTGCGTGGGCAACAGCAATATACATATTTGCAGCATATTTGATTTGTCACTTTATCAGACTTAACTGTCGCTTGTAACGAAACTATATTTCATATTAGTAAATCACATCTTTGATCATTACTTTTGTTGCATTTCACCTAATCCAAATAAACTAATCTACACCTTTTTGTAGAATAATCCTTCAATGCAGACGTTAAACAATCCATAATCAATCACATACTTATCCTGTTTAATCACTAATATTTTGTTGTATGTACCACTTAATAAAAATTTATATTCTAGTTTTCCTCATTATACGTTTTACGGCGCCAGAAACTTTGCGAAAGTGTACTAATACAGAGAATGATTTTCTATTATTTTCATCAAATCATCAAATCACCAAATCACTGTTCTGTAATTTGCCAATTGATCTTTATGAAACCAGTATAGTAACTTTTATTGAGGCAACTTGAATTAAGATTGACTAGGTTTTGTATTCTGCGTTTATTGTTTTTTTTAAATGAAAACTATGACAGTGTTTTATTTATCTATTTATCTATTTATTCCTGGTCTTTGAAATATGAATTAAAGAAGATGTATGGTATACGTAAATGAGGCATCGACTCAATGACACAAAAATGCTTAGAGTAAGTCGTTACATTTCCAAAAAGTTGTTCAACCGTAGTCAGGGGTATATGCAATTTGGCAAGTTCTTATTCGATCGGATTCTTTAAAAAAAATTGTCAGCTACATTAAATTTTCCAAAATTAAAAGAAAAGAAGAAAAACCCATAAACTTAATTTATGTTTATTTCGTATAAAGAAACGTAATTAGCATTTTTTATGGAATAGGCATTTTTTTTTTATCTTTATCGTTAACAATTATAATCGACACCTCGATGGAATTGACAAAACAAAAAATGGATCGTGCATATGAATAGTCGATTTGGGATGAATGATTGTTACCTGTCGCGAGAAGGGATGGGGTCGTGATTTCAGTCGACGGTCCGTTGAAAAAAACTTTACTATTAGGGCCATGCAAAATTATAAATTTTATCGGAATCTGGGCGAAGTCTGGTTATTAGCTCGGAATCATCATTGTGTGCGCAGATGGATCACAGTTCTGCCTGCTCGTTGTTACCTTGTTGGCTAACATGTTAAACACTCGACTCTCTAGGTTGTTCTAGTAGAACAATGATTTGTATAGTAAGCTTACTTTTGCAAATTCTAGAGTAGAAGCAGTGTAACATTAGCTTCACATTGACACATTGTTGTCATGAATATGCTTTTAATAGTTGCCGTTCGAAATAAGGCACCTGTCAAAAAACTAATAATTTTAAGTAAGGTTAAAAACATGCTTTCTTGAAATACGAAATTGACATGAACAATGCTTCTTTCTTTTTCGCTTTTTCAGATAGAAATAGACGGACGTTATTATGGCAAAAATAGATGCTGTAACTATGTTTTGTTTCTAGTGATTGACCAATCTTAAAATGAAAATCGGTTTTTGTATCAAAACAAACTTTTCTAAACGAAAGACATGATTTGAATTTTTTAAGTCTGTAGAATTGAATGAGACTGGTATAAAATACGAAATATTACACAGAAGACTAGATTTTTCAATTAATTTGAAATAAATGCACTTTTTGTCGCTTAAAACCATTATCTCGATTTTCTACATGTCTTTAACGATTGAAGCCATAAAATGCTGAATATTCTGTTTTTTTTTTTTTTTTTATTTTAATTTTTGTTTGTGTCTTAAAATTAGCGATGCGATGCGAGTCGCAAATCATTGACGTTCACAAGACAAATGTTACTAAAAAATTTTCAAAATCAGACTTCATCCTCTGTTTTGTGGTAAAATTATACAAGATGATTAGTTGTAGAGTAATTGCTTGATAAAATATTGAAGGGCTTCTTTGGATGTGCAGTTATTTGTTTTCAGTATAAGGAGTAAAGGATTTGCCAAAATTGTGACAGTTTTAAAGTCGGTAACGTCAGAATCCCACAGAGTCCCTACATCTTTGTATAACAATTTTATTTTGGTCGACTAGGGTGGCGTATGTTTTTTGAAAGGAAAAATACCTTACAAATGCATAAAGCAGACAATTTGGCCAAAAGCTAGCAAGTAAGTTATCATACATTTAAAGCAGTCAACATTGTTAATAGGAACAACAGACATTAAAAGCATACTTTAGATCGTAAATACAGGTCTTTACATATATCATTTCTAAGTTCAATTTATAGGGCCAACTTTAGGCTTTCGTGACCATTCTCCTCAACAAACAATTCAGTTTTATTTGCAGTGTATTGTTTGAAACTTCAGGTTTACATATTTTCTGACGGTCAATTGAAATAACTTGTTAGTAAAAGCGCTGAGGCACTTTTCATCCAGATTTTGGTGGATGTTTTAAGTGACTGTCCTTGAATTTCAGAAAAAGATTTGCAATATGACATTGCTTTCGAGTAAAATGGTCGATAGGGTAAGTTCCTCATGCTATGCATGCATCACCAGCCATGCACATCAGACGGATTAGGATTTTTCGCATGCCATCCTCTTTCATCACCTTTTGCTTTTAAAAATCTTGGTAAGTTAGAGGCAATATAAGTTTACCGATATTCAAATCATAAAAATTCATTAAGGAAATATAATTCAAAGTAACAAACAATCGCATGAACTTCAAGAAGAGATACAGTTGTGTCGACAGGGTAAGCCCCTCCTTCTATGCACATCGGACAACTCCTCTAAATATGTAACACAACGAAACCTTACACAATTTATCTTTTCAAATTTCATGTTTACATCATTCTTTACAGATTATTAAAACTTTAAGCAAAATTACTTTATCGATTTGCAATTACTATGTAATACCTGTTGATAATAGAACGGAATTCTTGTTCGTTCTGAGTAGGTCAATATCGTTAACATTTTCCGAGACATTCCGATAATATGGTATACAATTAACTTTGACTAAGTTTGATTATATGTATTTGTATTTTTCGTTATGAACTTTTTTTGTATATGCCTTAAGATTTGCAAAATTCAGATCAGGATTCACAATGCAATTATAATTGCTATAGTGTTTTGGCTTTAGATTTCGTCAATTTTCCAATTTAAAGATGAACACATTAAATGGAGAATGGAAATGGGGAATGTTTCAAAGAGACAACAACCGGACAAAAGAGCAGAAAACAGCCCAAGGCCACCAATGGGTCTTCAACACAGCGAGAAAATCCGGCAACCGGAGACGGGCTTCAGCTGGCTCCTTAACAAAAATGTGTACTAGTTCAGTGAAAATTGACGTCACACTAAACTCCAATACATATAAATGAGCTGAAATTTAAAAAAAAACATACAAGACTAACAAATGCCAGAGGCTCCTGACTTTGGACAGGCGCAAAAATGCGGCGGGGTTAAACATGTTTTGTGAGATCTCAACTCTCCCCCTATACCTCTAGCCAATGTAGAATAAACAAACACACAGCAATACGCACAGTAAAACTTAGTTTAAAAGAAGTCCGAGTCCGATGTCAGAAAAGGTAACAAAAGAAACTAAGCAAAATAACAATGATACATAAATTAACAAAGGACTACTAGCAGGTGCTGACATGCTAGCTCCATACCTCAATTAAACTGATTGGAAGATTATTTTTTCATCATATGAAAATCAAGCACAATCCCTCCCGTTAGGTGTTGAGTATCATACCATCATAAAATGCATGTATCAAGTTAATGTTACTTTATTGTTTTATTAGAGATTTCCAATAAAATAACAAACGTAAGAAACTCGACGTACGGACCTAATTGGACTTGTTATTGCCAACCTATGAATTCTGTTAAAAAGTAAATTCACAAAAAGACTGAACTCCGAGGAAAATTCAATCGGAAAGTCCCTAATCACATGTCAAAATCAAATGACAAAACACATCAAACGAATACGTCGCTTTAGTTTAAACTGAATATTTCAAGACTATTAAAACCATACACTGAAATTTGCGTCCATGTTAAATAATTTTTACATGATCACAAAAGATAATAATCATGTATTTCTATTTATCACGTTGTTCTCCAGATTCCTGACTTAATTTTAAATTAAATTTTACGGACACCATCACGAATTGGTCGATCCATATGATGTGTCTTTGTCCAAACTAACTAAGGACATTTTTACCACGTGTTAGATTGTGGTTTGACATTACGTCGTCTGATCTTTTAATTACCGAACGTGACTTATTCCCGATTGTGACTGTTTTGCTGAGTGTTAATTCGCATTGCTATAAGACGTGTCACGGTACTTTTCTATCCAGTGGTAGTTGTAAATCTTATTTTTTTCTGTTGTATTAGTGTGTAATGGTAAAGATAATTAATCACCCAGTTCATTAATTAGATTTTAGCTTGGGTCAACTAAATTTATGCGATATATTTGGTTTACAGTTTGATTTAGAAGAAACACCGACATAGCTAGATAATACTATTAATTATCTAATTACTACCACATTTTATATTAATTAGTATTGTAATTTTCATTGTTATTAATAAATGTTATATGAGTATTTTAAACCAAATCTTGAATTCTATCCTAATTCTATCCTATTTTGGGGAAATTTCGGAAATTCAAATGTGACGTCACCTCTTTTTCTTTTTTTTGCTTTGATCTCTTTGGCTAACTCGGCTGTGAATTTTTATGTGCTTGTTTATGTTGTTTTATGTATTCGTTTTTATTCTGTAGTTAGTCACCACTTCGGTGTTATCATGTATATCTATTATAAAGTCATTTTTTGTTATAAATTTACTGTTTGCAAAAGTATGAATTATTCTAAATACTAAGGATTTTCTTATCCCAGACATATAACCTTAGCCGTATTTGGCACAATTTTTTGGAACTTTTTGGTCCTCAATGCTCTTCAACTTTGTACTTGTTTTGGCTTTTAAACTTTTTTGATCTGAGCGTCACTGGTTAGTCTTTTGTGGACGAAACGCGCGTCTTGTGTATTAAATTTTTAACCTGTACCTTTTGTTAGCTATCATTCGTATGTTTCTCTGTCCTATATGTTCTCCCATTTATTTGTATTGTAGTCCTGTCATGTAATGTTGTCATTTTAATGTTATATTTAACATTGCCATAAAAGCGGGAGGTTTGGCTAGCCACAAAACCAGGTTCAACCCACCATTTTTTTCTTAAAATGTCCTGAACCAAGTCAGGAAAATGGCCATTGTTATATTTTAGTTCGTTTCTGTGTGTGTTACATTTTAATGTTGTGTTTCTGTTGTGTCGTAGTTCTCCTCTTATATTTAATGTCTTTCCCTCAGTTTTAGTTTGTAACCCGGATTTGTTTTTTTCTCAATCGATTTATGAATTTCAAACAGCGGTACACTACTGTTGACTTTATTTAATTGTCACTGTCATAAGATCACGTATACATACGTATCCCGTATTTATCAAACAATTGATTTGTCAGATTTTTGTTTATACTGTATAAATCATTGAAAAGCATGTGTCATAAGAAACAAAACATAGAAAAAAATAAATAAATGCAAAAGCGGCACGCTAATGTTTGCCTTTTATATGTTTTATTCCCAATGCAGTGTAGAAGATTACCTTTTTAAGCAACGCGATAATATAGGTATCAACAGGGCGTAGGAACATAACATATAATTGCAAATGTAGTGCATATTAAGAATGAGAACATTAACATGAACATGAACCTGACTTTGTACTAAACGGTCACGATAATCCAAAAAGTTTAAAGTGGTAGTTCAGATTGTAACAGTCCCCAGGTCATCCTACTCGGACCCATTATTCTGATTACGGACCGATCAATCTTTGCTCTTAATCCTAAATATCGAGTGATTAGCAGAGAGGCAGTCAACCTTTGGTTTGAACCTGCTAAAGTTCGAATTCAAGATCCTTTCGCACCCTGGACCAGCACGTTACCATAAGATCACAGTGTTAGTTATGAATATTGAAGATGAACATATATGAACATGAATATTAAAAACATTTGAAACAAAATATGTGGCCATACGACACTGTGCCCTTCACGTTATCTCATTGAACCACTTAATATGGGTCAAGCTCTAATTTAGTATATAATTTTGAAAGTTTTAAATTTAGAACAGGATGAAAGAACGGACGGACGCTGACATGAAAATATAATATACCGTTGCTATCATAAGTTTGTCATAAAACTTAACGGATCCTACTCAACAAAACTGGAATCAACTATTCCATACATATCCGTTTTTCAGTCGTACGTGTATAAGTTAAACGCAAAAAAAATCATCAAAACTATGTGTAAGCTATGACGTTACATAACTCATAAAGACTCTTCCTAGAACCCATGTGTTATATAATTAAAGACAAGATGTACAAAAACAACTAATATAGTAAGTGTTATATTTGTTTTTTCTCGAAGATTCATTCTAAGAAATTCCATTTTCTTAAATTCTACAGAAAGATGGCAATGTACTAGCAGATTGATGCATCAGTGATTTGAATTTATCCCCTCTGACAAAAGTCTCTTGAAATGAATTATAGAAATACCCATACAACGAAGTCGTGTTTTACATCTTTTAATTTTGAGTGTGTTTGAAACTCCCGTTTCAACCTTATATCTTATTAATGAATAAAACTAAGACCATCATCCCGCTTCAGATTTCATTATTTTTATTCTTACAGAATCAAGTTTGATTTATAATTTACTCACCTTTCTTTACCGACTCTTGTTCCTTGTTAAAACAACATACGATATCTGAAACAGATTTTTAAAATGTAAGAGAAAATTTTCTTTTCATTATTTAAAAAGAAATGTTATCCACACACAATATTGTTTGTTCAATTGAGTGCACGATTTACTGTCTGAACTTCAAGATTGCATATTTTCTGGCAGTCAATTGAAATGTGGATAAAATCACTGTACTATTTTTCGTTTAGATTTGCAATTGGTCAATAAATTTGAGAATTTGAATTACTTTGTTCGAAATTCAGAAAACTAAAATTAAACGTTCAATTTGTTTTGAATTTAACGAATTTTTTTCCCATTGACATCTTTTTTACATTTTGATTTTGCTTTTAAAACATTGAAACCCATAAATCACAATGATATTCTAATTGCTTCAAGCGAGTCAATAGTGGTTTATTACATTTCAAATCCCACTAATCCACCATGAGCATACCAAAACATGAAATAAAGTAGAAATCGTTTGAAAAATTAAGTTTACTCTTATTCTGAGGGTCCATCAAAAATACTTCTGAGTAAAAGCGTTGAACAATTTTCGACCAAAAGCTGTTAAAGAAAGTATCATTGCTTTTGCGTGTAATTTAATCTATACGTACAAAATTCTAAATAAGCAAACACTTACGTGTCGTTTAGATTCATAATAAGGTGGGGTTTTTTTCTTCGACATATGACTAGCATGTATGATCCTTCACATCAATTTATCCTAATTTTATTTGCTTCAATAGTATAGCCTATCAACTTGTAATTTGCAATTTTCTTCTTCTTGTTAAATATAAATAATTGAAAACTGTAAAGAACATATCTTTTTTGAAACCCATTTCAAAACATTTGAAACATTTTACGATACAACGTGTTTAATTTGTTGGGTTATTTTTTACATTTAAATAAAACTTAAATGGATTTACAAGTTTTTGTCTGAAATTTCTCGTTTACAAATTGTTTACGTTCATTTCAGCCGACCTGTTGTTTTAAATAAAAAAAATGTATTCTACAACTTGCAATGCATTATATTTTTGTCCAAATATTTTCCATTTATAGTCTTAAAATGCAGGTTAACATAATCTCTGGCAGTTAGTCGGAAATACCTGTTGCCAAAAGTGCTGAACAATTTGTCATTCTGTTTCTGTCAATTATTTGTGGTCATATTTGTTACACGATTTTCCACGTTTTTCTCAAGTTGCAGATCAAAAACTGGTATATTTAATTGCAATTGTGTTGTATTTGTTTCTTTAAAACTAAAATACAACTCAAAATATCATTACTTTGTGTTAAAATAAATATACAAGTTTTGTCTGAAAATTCTTGTTTACATATTGGTTTACGTTCATTGGGGTAACCGTTTTTTTTTTAAACTGTAAGCCACAACTTCAAATGCAGTTATATTTGCTCAAATATTTCCCATTTATTGTCTCCAAATGCAGGTTTGAATATTTTTGGCGGTTAGTCGGAAATACCAGTTTATTAAAGCGCAAAACAATTTGTCATTTCTTTCTGACATTTATTTGCGGACACATTTTTACACGATTTCAGAAGTGTTTCTCGAATTGCCAATAAAAAATTGTTAATAGATATAAGAAGATGTGGTATGAGTGCCAATGAGACAACTCTCCATCCAAGTCAAAATTTATAAAAGTAAACCATTATTGGTCACAGTACGGTCTTCAACACGGAGCCTTGGCTCACACCGAACAGTAAGCTATAAAGGGCCTCAAAAATTTTTACTAGTGTAAAACCATTCAGACGGGAAAACCAACGGTCTAATCTATATAAAAAACGAGAAACGAGAAACACTTATGAACCACATCAACAAACGACAACTACTGAACATCAGATTCCTGACTTAGGACAGGTGAAAAAAAGTGCAGCGGGTTTAAACGTTTTAATGGTACCAAACCTTCACCCTTTTTCTAAAACAATAGTGTAACATCACAACATAGAAAGACACACTATAAAATATTAACTGAAATAGCTTAACTCAATCAAAGGACATATTAACACCATTGAACATACACTGAACAAATAAATTTGACCTATGATACAATGTAAATACAAAATAAATAAACTAAAGGAAGAATAATAAAAGTAACATGTTATATCGGTATGAAATGTTAAACAATTAAAGAAAAACAATATGCTCGAACAAAAATATATGCCATTTGCAATAACTTTAAACACAGGTAAATGAAAATAATTTTGTTGTAGTATGTATAATTTTGGTTGTTTTTTATACGCTACAAACAACTCACAAAACAGTTGGTTTTGCTAAAATGCATTTACATATTTTTGCTTGAAAATTCTTGTTTACATAATTTCTGACGATCAATTTGGAAGACCTCTTGCTTTTTTACAAAATGTAAGCCGTAATTTGAAAGTGCAGCTTTATTTGCTCAAAGAACTGTTATTTAGTTGTCTGAAAAAGCAGAATATCATATTTTTTACGGTCAGTATTTGTTGATAAAAGAGCTGAACAATTTTTCATCCGTGTTTCTGTCAATTATTTTCTGTCATTTTATTTTAACACGATTTCTGAAGAATTCCTCGAATTGCAGATACAAACTGGCATAGTATGTTTAACTGCTTTTGCGTTTTATTTGTTTTTTACGTTAATATACAACTCATTAGACAGTTTATTTTGCTGAAATGGATTTACAAATTTTTATCTGAAAAGTTGTTTACATATTTTTGAAGGTCAATTCAGGGGACTTATTGTTTAAATAAAAACTGTAAGACACAACATCCAAGGCAGGTTTCCATATTTTTTGGCGATCAGTCGGAAATGCCTGCTGTTAAAAGCGCAGGACAATTTGTCATGCAGCCTCTTTCAATTATCTTTCGGGGTTTGTTTTTACACAATTTCTGAAATTTTCCTCCAATTTCACATAAATTCTTCTAATAAAGTATGTATAATTGCTATTGCGTTTTAATTATTTCAAACGTTAAAATACAACTCACAAAACTGTTAATTAGTTAAAATGCGATAACAAATTTTTCCTTAAAATATCTTGTTTACATATTTTCTGACAATTATTTGGGGGATCTGTTGATTTCCAGCAGAAATGTAAGCCACAACATCCAATGCACCTATATTTGTTTTCATATTTGGCGTTTTCATTGTCAGGGAATGAAGATTTATATATTCTATAACACTCTTAGTCGGCAATACTTGCTGCTAAAAGCACCGAAAAATTTGTCGTTCTATTTCTGTCAATTATTTTCGGTCAGATATTATTAACACAATTTCGTGATATTCCCTAAAATTGCAGACACAATACTTGTATTATATGTTTAATTGCTTTTGCGGTTTATTTGTTTAAAAGGTTTGAAGACAACTCACAAATCAGTTAGTTTTGTTAAAATGCATTTACAAATTTTTGCATGAAAATTCTTCTTTACAAATATTTTGACGATCATTTTTGGCAATCTGTTGCCTTATTACAGAAATGTAAGCCACAACTTCGAATCCCCCTATATATGCTCACATATTCTTCGCATTTATTGTCTGAAAATGCAGGTATATATATTCAATAACGGGTAGTCAGAACCACCTTCTGCTAAAAGCGCCGAACAATGTGTCGTTCCATTTCTATCAATCATTTTCAGTCATATTTTTTTTACACCATTTCCTAAGTTTTTCTTCAGTAACAGATCAAAAACTGGTATAATATGGTTAATTTCTTATGTGCTTTATTTGTTCTTACGTTGAAAAACACCTCACAACATAGATATTTGTGCTAAAATTAATTTATCAATTTTTGTCTGAAAATTCTTGTTTACATATTTTTTGACGGTCAATTAAAAGTACCTAATGTTTCTTTAAAAAACAATGCAGCTATCTTTGCTCAAAAGTTTTCCAATTTATTGTCTGCAAATGCAGGTTTACTTATTTGTGGGCGATCAGTCGGAAATACATGTTGCTAAAAGCGCTGAACAATTTGACGTTCCGCTTTTTTAATTTTTTTTTCGATCATTTTTTTTTACACGATTTCTGAAGTTTATCCCCAATTTGCAGATAAAATACGGGTTTAGTATGTCTAATTGCTTTTATTTGTCATATTAAAACGTCAAAATACAGCACTCAAAACAGTTAGTTTTGTTAAAATAAATTTACAAATTTCGCTTAAAAATTCTTGTTTACATGTTTTCTGACGATCATTTCGGAGGATCTGTTACTATCCAGCGGAAATGTAAGCCAAACTATCAAATGCACCATTTATTTGCTCTCATATCTATTGTATTCATTGTTTGGAAATGCAGGTTTATATATTCAATAACATTAGACGGAAATACCTGCTGCTAAAAGCGCCGAACAGTTTGTCGTTCCGATTCTGTCAATTACTTTCGGTCAGATTTTTTAACACGATTTCTGAAATTTTCCTCAAATTGCAGATACAATAATATATTGAATGTTTGTTTGTTATTGCGGTTTATTTGTTTTAAAGGTTTAAATACAATGCACAAAACAGTAAGTTTTGTTAAAAAGCATTTACAAATTTTTGCTTGAAAATTCTTGTTTGCATACATATTTTGAGGATCATTTTGGGGGATCTGTTGCCTTATTACGAAAATGTAACCCACAACTTCCAATGCACCTATATTTGCTCAAATATTCTTCGCATTTATTGTCTGAAAATGCAGGTTTTATATATTCAATAACGGTAAGTCAGACTTACCTGCTGCTAAAAGCGCCGAACAATTTGTCGTTCCATTTCGGTCATAATGTTTATCACGATTTCTAATTTTTTTGTCCAGTTGTAGATCAAAAACTGGTATAGTATGTTTAATTTCTTTTGCGTTTTATTTGTTTTAACGTTAAAAAAAGTCACAAAATAGATACTTTTGCTAAAATGGATTTATCAATTTTTGTCTGAAGATTTTTGTTTACATAATTTTTGACGGTCAATAAAAAGTACCTATTGTTTAAAAAAAAACTGTAAGCCACAATTTTCAATGCAGCTTTCTTTGCTTAAATATTTTCCCATTATTGTCTGCAAATGCAGGTTCACATATTTTTG